ATGATCTTAAGGATAGCATCGACATAGAGAGAGAGCGTAGGTCGCTGGCTGTGCGGTGTAATATGCTGGCCCGAAGATTTGCACGGTGTACGGATGCAGTAAAGGTCACTCTTTTTAAGTCTTACTGCCAATCATTGTATACTTGCAGTCTTTGGACCAACTATACGCAGCGGGCATACAGCGACCTGCGTATTCAATATGACAACGCCTTCAGGATACTGCTGAGACTGGCGCGGAGTTGCAGCGCGTCAAAAATGTTTGCAGAGGCGCATACGGACGACTTTTATGCTATTATTAGAAAGAGGTCCGCTTCCATGCTCGCTAGGCTCCGCTCTAGTACCAACAGCCTCCTGAGAGTGTTTAATGACCGGTGGGACACTCCTCTGCTACGACACTGGGTGAAGCTCCATATTAAAAAGTAATTTTTATGTAATTCTTTATAATTCTTTATTATACTAACATATTTATAAGTAAATCAAATGTAACTAACACTATGGAACCTAGTTCTGAAATAAATAATTTGAATTGAATTGAAGGCAAAGGCCACAGTCAAACAGACAGCCGCCGCATTCGAGACGAACCGAAGAATAAACTCAAAACTATATACCTACGTTCGCCGTAAGCTGAGGAAAAGGGAATACCTACCCAAATCAGCGAGGAAATTCAATTTCGAGTAAAATTCAAAATCGATTAAAAACAGCGCCCGATAAGGAGGACTCAAATCGATATGGGAAAAACTATTCAAAATTCAACAACTGTCAAACTCCATCCATTCATCCACGCGCCCCCACAGAGATTCACTGCCTGATTACTTTTTTTTTTTATTATAAGTCTCAAGGCGAATATTTTAGTCGAATAGAAAAATCGACTATTCCCTCAATGTGGTAGCATTGAGGGACCCAATCAATGAAGTTTGACAGCTACGCCGACGTAAGCGGTTCGCTATCATAGACAAAACAGCTGTCCTACGTGTGTCAGTGTCACGCCCTGTTTAAAAACAAACACTACACGCTATCCGGGCGAATGCATTGACCATTATGCTACCGCAGCCTTGATGGACGTGTCGAATTCTTCCTAGCCTTTCTTAAGTTGCAAGGCAGCGCCATCTCTTCGCAATGCAAATAACCCTAACCACTAGAAATGACTAAATTGACTTAGAATAGAAGAAGTACCGTAAGTGAGGGCTACTTTGTCCCAAATCAGAAAAAACATTGAACTTGCCGCCCCATCAGTATCTCTTGGGTGACCATAATAGTTCCAGTTGAAAATCACAGATAGCCATATAGGCGCGTGGTGTGGTGTTGTTATACCAACATCGTTCCTGTATCAACCTGTCATTGTAACGCGGGATTTTTCGTAACTGAAATAGTTCGCAAGTTCATGCGCAAACTTTCTCAAAACTGTGGTTTTCGGTAAGTTTACTATTATTTCTAAATTTAAAGTTATATTTTTCATTTAACTTAATTATTTTTGGGCAAAAACATCCATTAGTGTATTCAATATGCTAATGGTGATCTGTTAGAAGGGTTACTTAACCCCAACATGGCTTAAAATGAGATATATTAACCCTTAAATATTATTTTTGAAGTTATACTTCTTTAGGCGCGTTATGAAAAAATGATGAGAGTGAAATTTTAAGATGCGCGCGCATCACTGTAACATAAAATATTAACAGCATGCTGTTACTTTTGTGTTTACCGCACATTAAGAAAATCTACCAACAAAATAGAAATCTGCATTGTGAAGGCCTATCAAAAGTATTTATTAATCTGGAACAACGGAACCAAAGCGCGATTCAGGAGACTACAGCGCCATCTCTTGACCATTGGTGTAGTAGAACCAAAAACCACATTTTTATTTTTTGTAATAAAGTAACAGTTATAGGTATTCATATTTATAATATTTATCCACATGTTTCTAGTTTGTATATTCGGAATACGTGTTTGAGTTTCATACAAGTGCAAATCACATATGTTCTAATAAATTATATTCAGTAGCGATTTTAATTGAATATTTTGATTATTTATTTATTTTTTCAAATTAAAACTGAACTTTATTGACTTCGTCCTTTTCCAGACTTTTTATTAATTTATTGTAATTAATTATTTGCATGCAATTAAAAACTAATTTTAAACGATGCCAAAGAAGGATAACTTCTCACGCGCCTACATAAGTACACGCACCCATTTTTTCCTATTTTCGTATGATACTTTAAAGTTCACAATGGAAAGATATAAACTCGGTACCTTTAAAATTTTAGAATTAAATTAAGTTTGACATTCACATGCCCTGTCGTTGGCAAAATGGACCAACTAAACGAAAATCACCACCAAAATGTATTTACTCTGTTTTGTGCGAATAAATGAATTTCATTTCATTTCAATTCCCTTTCTAGTAATATTTTTCTTTAGATTTAAACATCCATCAGTTTAAATGTTTAAAAAAAAAAACTGACAAAGTGCGAGTCGGACACGCGTACCGAGGGTTCTCTCAACGCGTTCATGAGAAAAGAGGTAGTAACTTTAAAATTTTCAAAAATATTTTTGAAGTTATACTTCTTTAGGCGCGTTATAAAAAAAATATGAGAGTGAAATTTTAAGATGCGCGCGCATCTGTAACACAAAAAATTAACACCATGAAGTTGGTCGCTTTAGCGACCGCCGTTCATGTGCCGCGCTGCCATTACCGCGTCGCCCGCCGCATAGAGTATACTAGTATATGCCCGCCGCACCGTACGCATGCGCGGCCACTCGCGGTCCGCGCTGCCATTACCGCGTCGCCCGCCGCATAGAGTATACTAGTATATGCCCGCCGCACCGTACGCATGCGCGGCCACTCGCGGTCCGCGCTGCCATTACCGCGTCGCCCGCCGCATAGAGTATACTAGTATATGCCCGCCGCACCGTACGCATGCGCGGCCACTCGCGGTCCGCGCTGCCATTACCGCGTCGCCCGCCGCATAGAGTATACTAGTATATGCCCGCCGCACCGTACGCATGCGCGGCCACTCGCGGTCCGCGCTGCCATTACCGCGTCGCCCGCCGCATAGAGTATACTAGTATATGCCCGCCGCACCGTACGCATGCGCGGCCACTCGCGGTCCGCGCTGCCATTACCGCGTCGCCCGCCGCATAGAGTATACTAGTATATGCCCGCCGCACCGTACGCATGCGCGGCCACTCGCGGTCCGCGCTGCCATTACCGCGTCGCCCGCCGCATAGAGTATACTAGTATATGCCCGCCGCACCGTACGCATGCGCGGCCACTCGCGGTCCGCGCTGCCATTACCGCGTCGCCCGCCGCATAGAGTATACTAGTATATGCCCGCCGCACCGTACGCATGCGCGGCCACTCGCGGTCCGCGCTGCCATTACCGCGTCGCCCGCCGCATAGAGTATACTAGTATATGCCCGCCGCACCGTACGCATGCGCGGCCACTCGCGGTCCGCGCTGCCATTACCGCGTCGCCCGCCGCATAGAGTATACTAGTATATGCCCGCCGCACCGTACGCATGCGCGGCCACTCGCGGTCCGCGCTGCCATTACCGCGTCGCCCGCCGCATAGAGTATACTAGTATATGCCCGCCGCACCGTACGCATGCGCGGCCACTCGCGGTCCGCGCTGCCATTACCGCGTCGCCCGCCGCATAGAGTATACTAGTATATGCCCGCCGCACCGTACGCATGCGCGGCCGCGGCCACTCGCGGTCCTAGCGCGGGAAACACGTACAACAAACATCGGGAAAAGTTACGAGTTTTGAATTTAGAACAGAGACTGTTTTCATATCTATATATATAAAAATGAAACCCGTTTTCCGTTGTCACGACATAACATGAAAACGGCTTGACCGATTTGGCTGTTTTTTTTTTTTGTAGTTTTCTAATACTCTGTACAAGGTTCTTACGGAAAAAAATATAAAGAAAATCCCAAGGGGATAAAATAAGGAATGAAAGTTTGTATGAAACTTTATCAATTTTAAACCGATCGGGCTGAGACTTTGCATGCAGGTATAAGAAGAATCATAGATGAATGTCATTGTGTATAATACAAGCCTGAGAACAAAAACTGTAGTCTACACTTCAGCTCTACACCGAAGCGAAGCGAGGGCGGGCCGCTAGTTTATAATATTTATCCACATGTTTCTAGTTTGTATATTCGGAATACGTGTTTGAGTTTCATACAAGTGCAAATCACATATGTTCTAATAAATTATATTCAGTAGTGATTTTAATTGAATATTTTGATTATTTTTTTATTAATTAATTATTTGCATGCAATTAAAAACTAATTTTAAACGATGCCAAAGAAGGATAACTTCTCACGCGCCTACATAAGTACACGCACCCATTTTTTTTATTATATGATGTAACTAAAAATGTATGCAATTGACATTGTGGGTTACCTACAATGCGAAGAGATGGCGCTGCCTTGCAGCTTAAGGCTAGGAAAATTTCGACGCGGCTAATAAGGCCGTGGTAGCATAATGGTCAGTGCATTCGCCCGGATAGCGAAGGGTGCGGGTTCGAGTCCCGTCCGCTGCCTGGTCCGCGTGGATTTTTTTCTAGTAAACTTTTCTTTAGATTTAAACATCTAGCAGTTAAATGCTTAAAAATAAATAAAAACAACTAAAAATTTGTGGTTTTCGCAATTTACCTTTATCCGTACTATAAGACGTTACTTCATACCAAATTTCAAGATTCTAAGTTCACGGGAAGTACCCTGTAGGTTTTGATTCCCGTGCGAGTTTCGAAAATTTGCGGAAATTTGCGGCATAAACGGCTGTATCTTTTGATTGCTTCGGCTTAGAAGTTTGATTTTTTCACAGCTCCAAGGGACAGTAGACCTGAGTATTAGATATGAATTTCAGTTTGATACCTCATCGCGTTCCTGACGACGGACAACAAAGTGATCCTGTAAAGGTTCCGTTTTCTCCTTATGAGGTACGGAACTCTAAAAATAAAAATTATGATGTTAATTAATTAATTTATTATTTATACAGGGTGTGCTCAGTGGTGACTCAGGAGATGGACAACTACGAGCCCTGTATATACACCAAGCGGGTACTGGAGGCAGTCACTGTTTTACGGGATCAAGGTAAGGTATCATACAGAGTTTGTCATCATCATAATCATCGACCCATGTTCGTCCACTGCTGGACATAGGTCTCCCCTAATGCACGCCACTGCTCCCGATTTTCTGCCACTCTCATCCAGCTCACGCCAGCCAGCCTACGAATGTCATCATCCCATCTTGTCTCAGGGCGTCCCACACTACGTTTACCGAGCAAGGACCCATTAATCGTATAAAGGTTAACCGGTAAGACCAAAACCCTGTATATTGATTAATCCTTATGCAGTAAACTGTTTATTGTCATCATCATCATCATCAGCCTATTAATGTCCCCACTGCTGGGGCACAGGCCTTCCCTATGGATGGAATAGGGAGATTGGGCCATGACCCACCACGCGGGCCCAGTGCGGATTTGCGGGTGCTAACGACTGCAGATGCAACCGGGACCAACGGCTTAACGTGCCTTCCGAAGCACGGAGGAACTCGAGATAGAAAATTGTGGTCACCCATCCAATGACCGACCACTGCGAAAGTTGCTTAACTACAACGATCGCAGCCGAACGCGCTAACCACCTGCGCCATCGAGCTCCTCAATTGTTTATTGTAATATGGATTAATCCTAGGAATATTGCTGATTAATCCGTATGAAAGAGACTGTAGATGTAGACTAGTGTAGAGTACTTTCCATCTACGAACTCCGCCATTCCGTGGCATTGTAATTAAAAACTTTAAGAGAAAGCACCAAAGAATCAATTTAGCTTGGTGTAATGACGACGAGGTCACGTCAAGTTATAACTCGTCACTTGACTGAAGGGCCAATCACAGCTAGCTAGCCGTGTGTCTCTTTCTATGTATGAATTTTGAACAAAAAAGGAGTCTACGTAAGAACCGGTTTATATAGAGGTTATTAATCAATTATACAGGTTAACCCTTTATGTCAGGTTTTTAACCTAATCGTTAAAATTAAATCGATTAAAACACCTATACGTGTACCCATATCGGTCCTTGTTACCGAGTCGCGGTCTCCACTCGAGAACTTTACGGCTCCATCGGCCGTCAGTTCTGCGGCTAATCAATCAATCAATCAAAATCATTTATTCAGTTTAGGCTGTTACAAGCACATATGAATGTCTAGAAGCTACGCCATCGGTTCGTAAATCTACGGCGGGAGACCTTGTACTGAGAAGAACCGGCAAGAAACTCAGCAAGGGCTGTTTTTTTCTCCCTGTTTTATTATTTACAGAGTCGTCAAATTGAAAAATGACTTCAGAGGTGATTCATGAAGTCACTTTTCATAACATAATTATTAAATATACATTAATTGTTTACCTGCATTTTGATTGCTGTGTCATACAGTATAAATACATACTAATGTGACCCACTGCCACTTCAGTTTGCTAATTCGGTGGGCTATGTCGGTGACTCTGGTTCTCTGTCGGATTACATCATTTCTGATGCGGTCCTTCAGGGATACTCCGAGCATAGCCCTTTCCATAGCTCTCTGAGCGACTTTAAACTGGTGACCAGTCCAGCCGTGAGTGTCCACGTCTCGGCGCCGTATGTCATAACTGGGAGGACGCACTGATCGAAGACTTTCGACCTCTCGAAGTTGTTCATACAGAGTTTGTACTAAGTTTTAATTGGAAAAATTACGATTTTAGGATCTCATATTATACACCGTGTTCCTGAGGTTATACACTAACTTTGGCATGTTATTGAGACTATTAAATAGATCATTTTTTAGTATGGAAACTTTTATGAATTCCAATTTTTTTATCATTTTTTTATTTTCATACAAACTAAATGCTTAGATGTAATTTATCTAATATGAATTACTCTTTACCTGAGCTGGCAACGTCGCATTTGAAACCTTGGTTCACATGTCCACATAAACTTTTTGAAACTTTTCTTGACGTCAACAATGTTTAAATCTAAAGAAAATATAAATAGAAAAAATTCCACGCGGACCAGGCAGCAGACGGGACTCGAACCCGCACCCTTCGCAATCCGGGCGAATGCACTGACCAATTATGCTACCGCGGCCCTCACGGACCGCGTCAACAATGTTTTTTAAAATTTTGACTTTTGAAACTATGACTTAATGACCATTGACAAAGAGTTGATAATTTGATATTTTTCGTTGCACAAAGTGGCAACATCTCACAGATAAAGACTCATTCTCACTGAACAACACAATTAAATAAAACTACGTTTTTACGGGTTAATGCACGAAACTTTATTTATTTATTGACGTTTCGCAGCCTTTTCAGGTCTGCATCGTCAGAATAATTTTATATTATTTTTTAAGTTAAAAAAAACTTTTTTTTCGAAGGTAGCTCGACAATTTTAAATAAAATCATTATTCTGACGATGCAGACCTGAAAAGGCTGCGAAACGTCAATAAATAAATAAAGTTTCGTGCATTAACCCGTAAAAACTAGTTTTATTTAATGAGTGATGTGCGTGAAAACCTAAGAAACAAACACAATTAAGTTGGTTAAACTTAAATTACCAATAACTTAAAAATTATGCTATTTAAACTACTACTTTCTTTATACGATATGTTCAACAAGAGCTATAGAAGTATTATTCAAAGTTTATGTATATCCTCAGGAACACGGTGTATAATATCAAGGTGTCAAATGTCAGTGAAGCAATAGGGTGTTTGACAGTATTAAAAATAAAGTGCCAATTGTTAGCATCTGTGTTTACAATGAATATTGGCAGGGGTTTATACTATTTTTACAAAAAAAAATGGTTGCCTGTAAAGTCGGTTTTACGGGCGAAGATTTTACGTGACAACGTCTTTTTCTCGGTAGAATATTTATTGATATGAATATAATTAAATTGCACAATAGGAACAAGGAATTGAATGAAAATAAGAATTGCACAAATTTTAACTATAGAAATATATTTTGTTTACTAAAACATTGTACATGTAAACTTAAACTTAACACGAGAGACTCATCGTAACGTTACCGAGCGTTACACTTTTTCATAAGTGACTCCCAGCCGCAACCTAATTTAAGACGTTGTCACGTCAAAAAATATTCATAATTTTACTAAAAACCCACGATAAAGATTTCTTATCTATTGTCACGTGACCCAAAACGCTTGGGATTGACGTAGCCTAAAATGACGTCACACGCAACTAAACTTCCGGTTAAAGTGACATTACATTGTATCGTTTGACGTTTTAATAACAGTCGTGTGACGTCACACACCAGTGAGACGCCATATTGTCCAGAGATACGTTTTTGCGGCAACTTGAAAATGGAGTTTTTGATTTGGTTATTTTTACTTAAATACACAACAGAATGATGAATATCCACTTTTTACGGACTCCATAAACATTAGCCAATAACGTGAGATCGTTTTCTAAAACTTGTCAAATACCCTATTATACTTCATTTAAATTGACTTCTTGATAGCTCCTTTGAATCGTCCAATAGTTTTTCCTACCACCCATTCAGGGCATCTTCTAGCTGATGAGAATAATGGGCGCAAGATACTCATATTTAACACCCTACTACCCTTGGTGACAAAAACTCTCGGTCACCCATCCCTAAACAGGCAAACACAAAAGTAGCTTGACTTCTACGGTTGCAGTATATTAAAAGGGGATTTTTTTTCACTTTACCCATAACAGTGATGTCGAAATTCGCGGTCCGTGTCGATGCTGCGGTGTCAGCGTTAGGTTCCGGATCCGGCGGAGCTCTGGACGAGAACGATTTCATAGACGCCTCTAGACTTGTCTATGACGCTGTGAGGGAGATACGGCGCGCCGTGCTGATGAATAGGGTGAGTTTTATTGGTTATTATAAATAAATAAATAATAAATAAATGTTTCTTTCATAGTTGAAAGTATAATGTGATTCAACTAAGAATAGGACTGACTGGGCGTCATATTGTGATGTCATCTGTCAGCTGTCAATTCAAACCAAATAGGTAGAGTGAGCAAAAAAATATGTTTATTTAATAAAATTTATTTACTAAGATTAAGTGAGAAAAGGCATCAGATTTTTTTAATACCATTTATTTACTAAGATTGAGAGATAAAAACACACTGATTTTTAATTATATTTATTTATTAAGACTGTGAGAAAAGACATTAATCAGAATCTAGCTCTTCTATTCGGCTCATCTCTGCTTTACCGCCGGAGTAGTTATGTATAATCATGCACTATTACTAGGTTACATATACGACATTTGGTTGACGATTTAGGTTATCAACCATTCATAGCCAAAGCTCAATAAGTCAAAAAAAATATATAAACCGATATTAATAATTATCAATATTTGTTATTGTTTGTTTACAAATGTTTAGTTTTTATTCTTGAATTAGTGGAGTGTTAAAAAAGGGTTACAAGTTTTTTTGCAAACCGTACTTTTCAAGCGACATTTGACAGACAGGGGTCATTGGCTTTTCTATTCTTATTTGAATCGCATTATATGTGTCGGATATAAACGACATGTTAGATTTGTAAAGAGATAGACATGTGTAGACGGCAGTGTGATGATTGTAGAAGTTATAGTGAAGTTTGAAAGTTAAAAGTATGTGTCGGAAATATACGACATGCTGGATTTGTAAAGAGATAGACATGTGTAGACGGTAGTGTGATGATTGTTGAAGTTAGAAGTTTGGAAGTTAAAAGTATGTGTCGGAAATATACGACATGCTGGATTTGTAAAGAGATAGACATGTGTAGACGGTAGTGTGATAATTGTAGAAGTTATAGTGAAGTTTGAAAGTTAAAAGTATGTGTCGGAAATATACGACATGCTGGATTTGTAAAGAGATAGACATGTGTAGACGGTAGTGTGATGATTGTTGAAGTTATAGTGAAGTTTGAAAGTTAAAAGTATGTGTCGGAAATATACGACATGCTGGATTTGTAAAGAGATAGACATGTGTAGACGGTAGTGTGATGATTGTTGAAGTTATAGTGAAGTTTGAAAGTTAAAAGTATGTGTCGGAAATATACGACATGCTGGATTTGTAAAGAGATAGACATGTGTAGACGGTGGTGTGATGATTGTAGAAGTTATAGTAAAGTTTGGAAGTTAAAAGTATGTGTCTGAAATATACGACATGCTGGATTTGTAAAGAGATAGACATGTGTAGACGGTGGTGTGATGATTGTAGAAGTTATAGTGAAGTTTGAAAGTTAAAAGTATGTGTCGTAAATAAACGACATGCTTGATTTGTAAAGAGATAGACATGTGTAGACGGTAGTGTGATGATTGTAGAAGTTATAGTGAAGTTTGAAAGTTAAAAGTATGTGTCGGAAATATACGACATGCTGGATTTGTAAAGAGATAGACATGTGTAGACGGCAGTGTGATGATTGTAGAAGTTATTGTGAAGTTTGAAAGTTAAAAGTATGTGTCGGAAATATACGACATGCTGGATTTGTAAAGAGATAGACATTTGTAGACAGTAGTGTGATGATTGTTGAAGTTATAGTGAAGTTTGAAAGTTAAAAGTATGTGTCGGAAATATACGACATGCTGGATTTGTAAAGAGATAGACATGTGTAGACGGCAGTGTGATGATTGTTGAAGTTATAGTGAAGTTTGAAAGTTAAAAGTATGTGTCGGATATATACGACATGTTAGATTTGGAAAATAGACGTGTGTGAAAAAAAGGAAAATGGTTAAGTGAAGTTTGAGCGGATTGAAAGAGTTTAGACTCTAAAAGCACATGGCTAAGAAACTGAAAATATCGAAATTAACAATATTATTTCTAAACTCCTTCAAACTATGACATATTTGGCCCTAATTTTTATTATTACAAATCATTGAAGGCCTAAAATAATAGATTTTATTATTCTGATCAAGCTTGAGATAAGGCTGTATGATAATTAATCCTTTAATTTTTACAAATGGACAAAATAAAACTTCACAGATTTCCTGTCAGGCCGACGATAACATATTATTTGTATTTATTTTTGCTTTAAAAAACTTTTTGTGAAGAGTTAATCAGAGAAATGGGAAAAAAGATTCTAAGAAAATTCGACATTGATGACTCTGTAAATAATTGTCAACATCTTGTATCATGTAGTAAGGTAATGACATAGTAGGAGGTTTTATAATTTTCAAGATTATGACTTTATCAAAAGTTCCTGAGGCTTTTTTAATAGAAATTATAAATACTCAGCCATTCACCATTACAAATTACTAAGTACAGTATTTCTACATTGCCAGGGCAGTCACCCATACAAAACTTTACCATCTCCTTTAGAGTATGTCTTGGATTAAAAGTCATGTTAGTTTAGACTTGTGTGATGTAATAATGTGGTGATAGGACATATGGAGGGATAGCGGAGGGTGCTGGTTTGAATCCCGTCTGTTGCCTGGTGCGTGTGGATTATTTTTCATATTTAATAGGAATGATGACAAATTTTTATTCTTCGTTTATCAGGTAGATTATCAAAAAGTATTGGACACGTTTTTCTCTTTTTTCACATAATATAAACATTGCAGAGATATATTGATTTGAAAAGTCGCATGACGACACGTTTGAGTGCACTTCTAAGTGAAAATTCACTCAAAAGTGACGTCACGAGCCCCTACTCCCAAACTTTGATGCGCTATAACTTTGTCATTTTTAGGTTGATTGCCCAAAGAATAAATACGTGTCCATTATTTTTTGATCATCTAACTGACGGACCAAATAGGATTTCGTTTACTGTACCCCGTCATCACCCCTATTGTTGACTTTCTATGTTACTAACGTAACAATTCTAAACATTAGGATGAAGAGGAATTGGACCCGGAGGATGTTGAACTGGATGAGCATTACACACTCGAGACCAGAAGCAAATGTAAGATAAAAGTTTACAGTAACATGTCGTTAACAATGTTACATGTCGTTAACAATGTTACATGTCGATGATAGTGTTACATATTAGTAACAAACTAGGTTGTTATGTAACATGCCAGTAATGTGTCGGTAAGGGGGCGTCCATAAATTACGTGAGATGTTTAAGGGGAGGGAGGGGGTCTCGGCAAATATCACGTAATTTTTTTTCACAGTAGTATCTATTAAATATTCTATTGGCAATTTTTTATTACACTTATAACTCTCAGCAATATTGATTACTAGTCTTAACCAGTCGTAAATAAAACCACGAAACATTTTTTTTTTACTATAACAATCCAACGCGTTTACGAAAGAAACCCACATTTTGAAAAATCTCACGTGAGATTGGGGATGGGGGAGGGGGTTGAATAAAATCTCACGACATCTCACCAGGGGGGGGGGGGGGGGGGAGGGACAGAAAATCCAAAAAAACACCTCACGTTATTTATGGACGCCCTCTAACATGCTAGAATGGCATGTTACTTGTTGGTAACTATGGGACATGTTAATAACAAACTAAGTTGTTAGTGTAACATGTGAGTTGTGAGTCTGTTTTGTTGTCCGTATGGTTGTGTATGCTGTAGCATGTCTAAATGTGGGATTCATGTCATTGTTAGAGCTTTCGTGTCTGTGTGTTAATGTGTTTTTTTTATATATTAATTAATATGCGAGACATTTTCATGGCGTTTTAAAATAATTGATGGTTTTGTGTTGTTCATGGTGTTCTAGCTGTTTCATTTACATTTACAGGAATGCTCATTTCATTTGGTTTGTATGCGTTAAATGTTGGTGACTATCCTTCATATTTATCACATGTTTCTAGCATTAACTCTAAAACAGTTTGGGTATGTCTAAACGCGGCGCAAATGACAGACGGAAAGCGTGTATGCCATATTAGTTATCTCCACACCATGACTTAACACATAACGTCAGGTAGAGTCAGGCAATTTGTTGTGTTTTTCCTAAAAAATATATATGTGTCTAGTAGGACATAATGTTTATTACATTAATTAAATTCAACAATATTTTTGTAGAAATAAAATTCATCTAAAAACAATAGAGTAGACAATGGGGTTGCCAGAGGTGAATGGTCTATGGCATTGCCCATTAAAGTTTCTTTTTTCTGATTATATTTTATTTATTTATTATATATTTATTTGCACGGCGTTAGGGCCGCAACAAGATGTTTCACTATAAAACGCGGTCAAAAAAGTCTTTTTTATTTTAATCCAGCTCGAAGGACCAAAGGATTATGATCAACAATAATTGTACGACATTTGTTGAAATGCATCTGACATTTAATTATGTCATACGAAGTCTTGTCGTTTGCGCAGTGTTTTCAAATGTTGTCATTGTCATCATTAATGTGTGCATTTTCATTGTCAATAATAGCAGCAGATCGTATCACTGAGAACTGTAAAGTTTTCTTATTGCAGCAAGTTAAGGTTGAGAATTGATTAAAGATAAAATGTCTTCAATATATTTCTGAATTTAAAGTGCTCACTATTGGAGTATGACTTGATCTCGTCTCGATGTGACCCGAAAACGTATGGCCTAAAGTTACAATTAAATCTTTATGATATTTAAAGCTTGAAAATATCGTTATAATTTTTATTTTTAAGCATGTAACTGCTTGATGTTTAAATCTAAAGAAAATATAACTAGGACCGGGGCCGCGGTAGCATAATTGGTCAGTGCATTCGCCCGGATAGCGAAGGGTGCGGGTTCGAGTCTCGTCTGCTGCCTGGTCCGCGTGGAATTTTTTCTAGTTATATTTTCTTTAGATTTAAACATCAAGCAGTTACATGCTTAAAAATAAAAACTATAACTATAATTGTTATCTCTTCTTTCAAATGTTTAATACTTGTAAAAGTATTCATTTGACATTGTGGATTACCTATAATGCGAAGAGATGGCGCTGCCTTGCAGCTTAAGAATGGCTAGAGGAATTTCAACGCGGTCATCAGGGCCGCCGTAGCATAATTGGTCAGTGCATTCGCCCTGATAGCGAAGGGTGCGGGTTCGAGTCTCGTCTGCTGCCTCGTACGCGTGGAATTTTTTCTAGTTATATTTTCTTTAGATTTAAACATCAAGCAGTTACATGCTTAAAAATAAAAACTATAACTATAATTGTTATCTCTTCTTTCAAATGTTTAATACTTGTAAAAGTATTCATTTGACATTGTGGATTACCTATAATGCGAAGAGATGGCGCTGCCTTGCAGCTTAAGAATAGCTAGAGGAATTTCAACGCGGTCATCAGGCCCGCCGTAGCATAATTGGTCAGTGCATTCGCCCGGATAGCGAAGGGTGCGGGTTCGAGTCCCGTCTGCTGCCTGGACCGCGTGGTTTTTTTTCTAGTTATATTTTCTTTAGACTTGAGATATGGTTTAAATTAACGATTAAGAAAATTTTACGTTCAAATTTGATACGTCTGTTTTTGAGTACGCTAGTGTTGTTAAACTGTTGGGGATCGATCTATCGATAGTTGATCTTGCAAATGTGTAGTGACGTTATTTATACTTGACAAAACTAAGTAATAAACTGAAACTAACAGTATCTGTCATCATTACTTCTCTAGAATATGGCAATAGAAACTCGTATTGAGTCAATAACGACAGAGTTTTGTAAGTGTCTTTATTATTTCATTATTGTTTTGAAATTTCATATTGAAGTGGGCGTCCTGTATAATTATATAAAATATGACTTAGTTTATTATTTCGCACTGTAAAATTCGTATCCAAGAAATCCATTTTGAACAATACAACAAAATGAAAAGGAAATATAATCATTTCATTATATAAAATGTTTTCATTGACTTTAAGCATAAGAATTTAGTAAGAATAATTGACGAGTTGTCATACAACGATTTAATTTTAAGATGAAATGGGATAAAATACAATTGTAATTTTTAATATGGGTTATTGTGCCTGAAATAAAAATTTATTATTATTATTAATAAGCTGTTTGCAACCTCCTTTTAAGCAAATGATTTCACCTAGCAACTGTTAAATATTGTTTTAAGGCTCATTGTGATAATAATATAAAGAATTTTACACAGCATTTGATAAATATTACTGTCAAGTATTAAGTACAATATCTTCATCATCAATTTCCAAATCATTGAAACTATCGATACCCCATAGTAGTACTAACAACACTAGCTGTGACTCGCTCGCTTGTTGTGACTTGTCGGCGCATGCTTGTAGACGAGCGACGATCTCGACACGGACACGGAGTTCGAGCCCGTCGAGGATATGACCATGGAGACTAGGAGCCGATGTGAGTATAGGTGGTTGGGGAAATAGGTGCTTCGATATAATGGCGCAATTACATTTGATCTTTAGCCCGAAATCGGGTGCACGAAAGATATAACTCGAATTCGGGCATACCAAGAAATAATTACATTATATTGTTTTAAACTTTCATGCTCACTAACATTATAGTAATATAAGTTATTTACGGGATTGTTACCATGTACCTTGTATTGTTTTAAACTTTCATGGTCACTAACATTATAGCTATTGACGGGATTGTTACCATGTACCTTGTTTTTTATGAGTATGAAAGAACACATTAAAGCAGTCAGAAACAATGATACGCAAAAATCAGCTATCGGGGAACATTTAATCGATTCGGGTCCTGATCACTGAATTGAGCTCCATAATCCACAAATCATCTCGACAGAACGCCACTACATACCAAGATTGGTCAGGGAAGGGATTGAAATAACCGAACACAAAAATTTCAATCGTGAGGACGGGTTTAAATTGTCTAGTGTCTGGAATCCAGTGGTACGTATGTGCAAAAACCGCAAAAATCAAAAAAGTGTCGTTCCGCGATCTGATACTGTGAGTATTGTGTGTCGGGAACAAGTGGTAGGGCTATCGAGCGCAGTAAAAGACGACGTCAGAGGGTAGACCGATATGTCTGCCAATAACATCTACCCGCAATTACTTCAGTTACTCCGTGATCATGGCGCCTGCAACAGTGCCGAAATATCGGAGACTCATAAAAAACAAGGAACATGGTAACAATCCCGTTAATAGCTATAATGTACCTTGTATCTCGGAAACTCGCTAAAAACAAGGTACATGGTAACAATCCCGTTAATAGCTATAATGTACCTTGTATATCGGAAACTCGCTAAATACAAGGTACATGGTAACAATCCCGTTAATAGCTATAATGTACCTTGTATCTCGGAAACTCGCTAAAAACAAGGTACATGGTAACAATCCCGTTAATAGCTATAATGTACCTTGTATCTCGGAAACTCGCTAAAAACAAGGTACATGGTAACAATCCCGTTAATAGCTATAATGTACCTTGTATCTCGGAAACTCGCTAAAAACAAGGTACATGGTAACAATCCCGTTAATAGCTATAATGTACCTTGTATATCGGAAACTCGCTAAATACAAGGTACATGGTAACAATCCCGTTAATAGCTATAATGTACCTTGTATCTCGGAAACTCGCTAAAAACAAGGTACATGGTAACAATCCCATAAATAACTTATATTACAATAATTACATTGTTTTTGGGTGCTGGAACACAGGCAAACAACCCTGCAGCGGTGTTCTAGTTATTTTCATTTAAAGGAGACCCGGCACTTTTCATAGAAAAAATGCTAAACTTGTATACAGTTGAATTTGGTCTCAAAATAAAGCCAAAATTATTTGCTACATAAAACTACTTTTGCCTTATTTTTAGTGAATCGTGGAAAGAAGTTATTTAATGATTAATATTTTTTGATATAAAAACCCTTTTGATGACAAACCTACGTATTTGACATTGACAGCTAGCTGCTGATGTCAAATATTGCCAGACTACGTTACCCAATTATGAAACACAGATAAAAAAAATAAAATTGGTGTTATTTTTTGTATGTATTTTATATAATATACATAATGTTATTTCTATTTTATTTTGTTTTATATTTTGCTGGCACATTACTCTTCTATCTCTGTTAAACTATCCTTCGACTTAAAGGTTGTCTGGAAGAGATCGCTTTCAGCGATAAGACCGCCTTTACCCACCATAGTTGACTATCTGTTTTGTAAACCCTTTAATTGTGTATGTGTGAGTAATAAAGTGTTTATCTATCTATCTATCTAAAAAAGTATACAACTTTGGCACAAAATGCCGGGTGTCCTTTAATCGTGTGTCAAATATTCAATAGGCACTCTTATTCGGATAACGGCCTAGTGTAATCGCGCCATGCGGCGTCATTAGACGGTAGGTTTTGCTGTCAGTTTGCTGACAGTCAAGGTTATGACCAGGGTTGCCAACCCTAATATTTATAATATAGTATCCTACTATATTAGGGGATCAAATACTACACAAAAATAACTGTTTTTATAAAAAGTTGAAACTTCATGCAAATATTTTAAGAAAATTAGAGAAGACTCCTTATATGATGTACTTCAACGCCCTTCCAGCTTTATTTGTATTTTTGTAACACTCTGTATATAATTTGGCTGACTGGTTCATAAAAATAATCAACTAACATTCGGTGAGCATCTCTTATCTATTAGACAAGTCCGTCCGTCCGTCCGTCCGTGGTGCTGTTTCAGCGGCCAAACCGTAAGAGATAGATAAAGAGAATGTTTAAGTTATAAGTTAAGAATAGTCTGATAAGACTACAAACCGGATGTGAGTAACGTAGCACTTCCGGTTTTCGAGAAATCACGTGATTTCTATTTCAAGCGAAACCACACAAAATCTCCGAAGACCTCAATTAATTTTTTTTTTTTTTGGTGAACATTTGGTTCACTGGTTTGCTAGTATTATCTATTAGACAAGTCCGTCCGTCCGTGGTGCTGTTTCAGCGGCCAAACCGTAAGAGATAGATAAAGAGAATATTTAAGTTATAAGTTAAGAATAGTCTGATAAGACTACAAACCGGATTTGAGTAACGTATCACTTCCGGTTTTCGAGAAATCAGGTTTTGGTGAACATTTGGTTCACTGGTTTGCTAGTTTACATATATTGCGTCACGCGAATCAACTGAAAGAGCATTGTCTCATGACTCACCCATACCTCATTGCTTTTAAATAATCTTAATAAGGGTTGCAATAACAACATTTTGTGGTATATACCAGAGATGGACATACCTTTTCCATAACATGTCAATAATTACTATCAAGTTTTGCTCTGGCCACTTACGATTTGTAGGGACCCCTTCCCCCGCGGCTTCGCATTAAGCAGCTTAGAGGGTATTCGCAGGGTTTTTAGCGGATATTATGCCGTAAAGCGCCCGTAAGAGTTACGGGGTCCTCAGTGAGCAGCTACTGCGGGGGCTCGTAAGGCTTGCGGGAGCCAGGTGTGAAGTCCGTTCGGCGGTGTGCCTCTTAAAGGCGCCGTCGTCTGTAAATAAAGGTTTTGCCTACGTTAAAAAAAAGGGGGGAAGGGGCCGCTAGAATTAGTAAATTAAAATGAATGGTCCCTCACCCAAGAACTTCCTAAATTAAACCTCAGGGGAGTTTGTTGTGAAGTAAATCAGTAGGCTGGTACCTACGTTCGGCATTTATATGTTCCTTTTCGGAACATGTCTGTGGCCACAATTCCAACGCGTACAAAGAAGTTTGGTGGCTCATTTCTTTGTCGCACTATCTGTAAATGGAATGCTCTGCCCGCTCACGTGTTCCCTCCCTCTTACAACCTGGGATCCTTTAAGAGGCGTGAAGAAGCAACATGCAGGCCGGCAGGGTGAGGATGGCTGGTGTGGCAGGTACAACTGCTGTCTTCGCGTCTAGACTTCACCTTCACTTAACATCAGGTGGGGTGGAGTCATTTGTCGGACCTATCTATAAAAAAGTGACACTGATAAAGGTACTTTTTGGTGAGAACCTTTGATTTTTCTATGACCTCCGTGGCCGAGTGGTTTGTACGGATTCGAATCCCGGTGGGGGCAGATGTTTGTGTGATGAATACGAGCATAATAGTCATGGATGTTTAACATGTATTTCTATACATATAAATAAACTTATATATGTACAATATATGTATTCTATCCGTTACCTTAGTATCCCATAACACAAGCCTTGCTGTGCTTACTTTGGGGCTAGGCTAATTGGTGTGAGTGTTGGAAATATTTAATTATTTATTTTGGTTTGATCCGCGAGCCGTAGTATGCCCATTCCTGGTCTATACCAAGGTAAGTGTTCTGAGAAGTTATTCTTATCGTATCCTTTAGACTTAGAGGACCACAAGCACGCGGCAAGCGCGTTGTATAAAAGATTTTCAAAAACAATGGCTTTCTTAATAGTATGTGCTTGGCTTAGTATTGAACACAGAGACACCTACTAATGCCGCAATTACATTTGTTCGTTAGACAGTTTAAGGGTGCACGAGAGTTATTACAGGAATTCGGGCATCCTAAGCAATATTTATAATGGAAACATACATACATAAATATTATTGAACTTGACATTGAAATTTAACATTTTTTTTTTGTTTTTACTAGTGGCCCGACTATTAATTAATTATTTATTTATATAGATGAACAGTGGCGGGGCAAGACCTAAATTTGATGTGGGCAAGACAGATTTCGCGAGGCCCTGTTCTGTGGCGACCTGAAGACGGATTTATAAAATAATAAGAAAAAGAAATTTGCTTTTAAGCAATGCATAAAAAATTTTCAGCCGCGGGGCCCCTTGTACCGCGAGGCCGTAGACCCACGTCGCCTACGCCTTACGCCGCCTCTGTAGATAAAATGATTTTTTCTTCACTTATATAATATACTAGCAAACCAGGGAACCAAATGTTCACCAAAACCTGATTTAAAAAAAATGTATTTAATTAATTGAGAACTTCGGAGATTTTGTGTGGTTTCGTTTGAAATTCGTGATTTCTCGAAAACCGGAAGTGCTACGTTACTCAAATCCGGTTTGTAGTCTTATCAGACTATTCTTAACTTATAACTTAAATATTCTCTTTATCTATCTCTTACGGTTTGGCCGCTGAAACAGCACCACAGAAGGACGGACGGAGTTGTCTAATAGATAAGAGATGAATTAATTATAGTGACATTCAGTACCTAACTCTTTCAATCTATAATTTGACATAGAAATTTGAATGTAACTCCTCTCTTCTATCTCTCATTTAGTTGCGTGCCCGACAGGGTCCATAATGATCGTATTTTGTCATATTTAACATCTTTTGTACATTGTGGATATATAATAAACGAATTAAATTGAATTTGAATAAGGGCTGGAAGGATGCTAAACGTTTCCAAAATAGCCACATTGATGGTAAAATACATGTTATAAAGTGCGTTAAAGCCATTTAAAATCTAAATAAAATATCTTAATAAAATCATAACTATAATTGCTATTTCTTCTTTCAAATGTTTAATACTTGAAAAAAGTATTCATTTAACACTGTGGGTTACCTACAATGCTAAGAGATGGCGCTGCCTTGCAGCTTAAGGCTAGGAAAATTTCGACGCGGCTAATAGGGCCGTGGTAGCATAATGGTCAGTGCATTCGCCCGGATAGCGAAGGATGCGGGTTCGAGTCCCGTCCGCTGCCTGGTCCGCGTGGATTTTTTTTCTAGTAAACTTTTCTTTAGATTATAAAATAGATTGGTAAAATTAGATAAAATGTAAATAAAAATTACTTAATAGGGATTATGACTATTTTTTTTTCTTCGTTTATCAGGTAGATTATCAAAAAGTATTGGACACGTAGTTTTTCTTTTTTCACATAATATGAACATTGCAGAGATATATTGATTTGAAAAGTAGCACGACGTCACGTTTTGGTACAATTTTCACTTAAAAGTGACGTCACGAGCCCCTACTCCCAAACTTTGACGCGCTATAACTTTGTCATTTTTTGGTTGATTACCCAAAGAAAAATACGTGTCCATTATTTTATGATCATCTAGCTTTACTGTACCCTGTCATCACCCCTATTATTACCCACTCTAAAATCAACCGTTGTTCATCACAAAAATAACGTATTTTAAAATCGGACAATCGTACATTTCAAGTAATTAAGCATCATATAAAATTGTATCATGTTTATAAGATTATATGTTAATATGTTTCATTTGGTGTTTGCAGCGAGTGCTCATACTGGAGAGCATGGGGTTGATGAGTATCCTGATATTAGCGGCATCACCAATGCAAGGGTAAGAAAAATATGTATTAGCTATTTATTTTCTACTAGCAGACCAAACAGACGATAAAAATACTAAAAAAAGTTAAATTTTCTTGAGATTATAATTTAATTTTCATATTAAAATCTAGCGGCTCGCCCTCGCTTCGCTTCGGTGTAGAGCTGAAGTGTAGACTGCAGTTTTTGTTCTCAGGCTCGTATTATACACAATGACATTCATCTATGATTTTTATACCTGCATGCAAAGTCTCAGCCCGATCGGTTTAAAATTGACAAAGTTTCATACAAACTTTCATTCCCTATTTTATCCCCTTGGGGGTAGAATTGATCAAAATCCTTTCTTAGCGGATGCCTTCCGTCATCGTCCTGCCGTCATAACATCTACCTGCATGCCAAATTTCAGCCCGATCCGTCCAGTGGTTTGGGCTGTGCGTTGATAGATCACTATGTCAGTCAGTCAGTCTTATATACCTTATTATACTTACCTTTGAGTTATATATATAGATATAACCATAATTATTCAAATTAACTTTCAATCTAAACCAAATATTCTCCCCCATCCAAAACCAGGAAGCTATGCGTAAAATGACCGAAGAGGACAAACGCAAGATCCTCCAACAAGTGGAGCTGTTCCGCCGCGAGAAGATGACCTTCGACAACGAGGTCGCCAAGTGGGATGACGCCGGAAACGATATCATCATGCTGGCCAAACATATGTGCATGATTATGTTGGAGATGACAGATTTCACCAGGTAACACTAGATTGTGTAGTGTCGTTTGAGTGTAGCCAAATGCATTGGGTAAGACCACACGCGTCATTGGAGCTAGACATCGTGCATCATTTGTGCATGATTATGTTGGAGATGACAGATTTCACCAGGTAACACTAGATTGTAGTGTCGTTTGAGTGTAGCCAACTGCATTAGGTTACATGTAATGTGTCATTAGGTTAGACCACATGCGTCATTAGAGATAGACATCGTGCGTCATTTGTGCATGATTATGTTGGAGATGACAGATTTCACCAGGTAACACTTGATTGTAGTGTCGTTTGAGTGTAGCCAACTGCATTAGGTTACATGTAATCTGTCATTAGGTTAGACCACATGCGTCATTAGAGATAGACATCGTGCATCATTTGTGCATGATTAGTTGGAGATGACAGAATTCACCAGGTAACACTAGATTGTAGTGTCGTTTGAGTGTAGCCAACTGCATTAGGTTACATGTAATGTGTCATTAGGTTAGACCACATGCGTCATTGGAGCTAGACATCGTGCGTCATTTGTGCATGATTATGTTGGAGATGACAGATTTCACCAGGTAACACTAGATTGTAGTGTCGTTTGAGTGTAGCCAACTGCATTAGGTTACATGTAATGTGTCATTAGGTTAGACCACATGCGTCATTAGAGATAGACATCGTGCATCATTTTTGCATGATTATGTTGGAGATGACAGATTTCACCAGGTAACACTAGATTGTAGTGTCGTTTGAGTGTAGCCAACTGCATTAGGTTACATGTAATGTGTCATTAGGTTAGACGACATGCGTCATTAGAGATAGACATCGTGCGTCATTTGTGCATGATTATGTTGGAAATGACAGATTTCACCAGGTAACACTAGATTGTAGTGTCGTTTGAGTGTAGCCAACTGCATTAGGTTACATGTAATGTGTCATTAGGTTAGACCACATGCGTCATTAGAGATAGACATCGTGCATCATTTATGCATGATTATGTTGGAGATGTCAGATTTCACCAGGTAACACTTGATTGTAGTGTCGTTTGAGTGTAGCCAACTGCATTAGGTTACATGTAATGTGTCATTAGGTTAGACCACATGCGTCATTAGAGATAGACATCGTGCATCATTTATGCATGATTATGTTGGAGATGTCAGATTTCACCAGGTAACACTTGATTGTAGTGTCGTTTGAGTGTAGCCAACTGCATTAGGTTACATGTAATGTGTCATTAGGTTAGACCACATGCGTCATTAGAGATAGACATCGTGCATCATTTATGCATGATTATGTTGGAGATGACAGATTTCACCAGGTAACACTTGATTGTAGTGTCGTTTGAGTGTAGCCAACTGCATTAGGTTACATGTAATGTGTCATTAGGTTAGACCACATGCGTCATTAGAGATAGACATCGTGCATCATTTATGCATGATTATGTTGGAGATGTCAGATTTCACCAGGTAACACTTGATTGTAGTGTCGTTTGAGTGTAGCCAACTGCATTAGGTTACATGTAATGTGTCATTAGGTTAGACCACATGCGTCATTAGAGATAGACATCGTGCATCATTTATGCATGATTATGTTGGAGATGTCAGATTTCACCAGGTAACACTTGATTGTAGTGTCGTTTGAGTGTAGCCAACTGCATTAGGTTACATGTAATGTGTCATTAGGTTAGACCACATGCGTCATTAGAGATAGACATCGTGCATCATTTATGCATGATTATGTTGGAGATGACAGATTTCACAGGTAACACTTGATTGTAGTGTCGTTTGAGTGTAGCCAACTGCATTAGGTTACATGTAATGTGTCATTAGGTTAGACCACATGCGTCATTAGAGATAGACATCGTGCATCATTTATGCATGATTATGTTGGAGATGTCAGATTTCACCAGGTAACACTTGATTGTAGTGTCGTTTGAGTGTAGCCAACTGCATTAGGTTACATGTAATGTGTCATTAGGTTAGACCACATGCGTCATTAGAGATAGACATCGTGCATCATTTATGCATGATTATGTTGGAGATGACAGATTTCACCAGGTAACACTTGATTGTAGTGTCGTTTGAGTGTAGCCAACTGCATTAGGTTACATGTAATGTGTCATTAGGTTAGACCACATGCGTCATTAGAGATAGACATCGTGCATCATTTATGCATGATTATGTTGGAGATGACAGATTTCACCAGGTAACACTTGATTGTAGTGTCGTTTGAGTGTAGCCAACTGCATTAGGTTACATGTAACGTGTCATTAGGTTAGACCACATGCATCATTAGAGGTGCACTAGATTGTAGTGTCGTTTTTATGAGTCTCCGATATTTCGGCACTGTTGCAAGCGCCATGATCACGGAGTAACTGTCAGTTACTAATAAATATTCGACGACCTCCGTGGCCGAGTGGTTTGTAGGCCGGGTTTCATGGCGTCGCGCGACTCGAGAGGTCCCGGGTTCGAATCCCGGTGGGGGCAGATGTTTGTGTGATGAATATGAGCATTTGTACTCCAGTCATGGATGTTTAATATGTAATTCTATATAAATATACCTATATATGTACAGTATATGTATTCTATCCGTTACCCTAGTATCCCATAACACAAGCCTTATAGTGCTTACTTTGGGGCGAGGCTAATTGGTGTGTGTTAAAAAAAAACTGAGTTAATAATAAATATAACTGCAAGTTACTCCGTGATCATGGCGCTTGCAACAGTGCCGAAATATCGAAAACTCATAAGAAACAAGGTACATGGTAACAATCCCGTTAATAGCTATAATGTCATTAGATATAGTTTGTCTTTGAGTTATTATACCACATGCGTCATTAGAGATAGACATCGTGCGTGATTTGGTTATACAGCTAGATTCATTAGAACAGAGATGGCCGACTTCTCTTGGTACTCTATACAAATGTAGATGTAATGCGTCATTAGGTTAGATAGGATATTTTTTAAGATTAGGCTACATACGTCATTAGATAATCCTGATGTTGATGGACGCCACCAGGTAAGTGATATGAGGGTAGCTATAATGAATCATGAGGTTTATATGATACTTTCTATAATGAGGCAAATAGAGTTGTTCCGTCCGGAGAAGATGATTTATCTATTTCACAGGTCAGTGTAAATGAGATGCGTGATAAATTATTTTTGTAGGTATTGCATTCAGGTAGGTATTTAGGTTAAATTCATCTGTCATTAGGCTAGACTGTAGATAACGAAGAAATCATCATCATCAGCCTATTAATGTCCCCACTGCTGGGGCACAGGCCTTCTGTATGGATGGAATAGAGTTTGGGCAGTGACCCACCACGCGGGCCCAGTGCGGGTTGGTGGGTGCTAACGACTGCAGATGCAGCCGGGTGCAACGTGCCTTCCGAAGCACGGAGGAGCTCGAGATAATACATTTTTTGGTCACCCATCCAATGACCGACCACTGCGAAAGTTGCTTAACTTCAACGATCGCAGCCGAACGCGTTAACCACTTGCGCCATTGAGCTCCTCACGAAGAACGAAGAAATATCTCACCCAAAAAAGACTAAAATCTCTCTCAATACACCTTACATAGCTAACTATATTCAAGGTTTCTATCATATTAATTGTCCAGAGGCTACGACCACCTCAAGACTACGATAGTCGTGATCAAAACAGCCTACAAGATTCCCTGTTTCATTGCCAAATTTCTCATACAAAAAAGACTGAAATCTCTCTCAATACACCTTTGAGTGGTCTAGAGGCTCCAGACGGAGAGAAGACTCCCCCCGTGGGGAGATGCCATCCGCCTGGAATACCTCTAGAGGCACTCGCCAATTCTCGGCTCGAGGTCCCCTTAGGATCTCGCCGTCCCCAAACCCAGTGACGCTGTAAAGGTCATCTGCGACCAACAGCATACACAATAAAAAAAAAACAATACATACCTACAATGCGAAGAGATGGCGCTGCCTTGCAACTTAAGGCTAGGAAAATTTCGACGCGGCGAATAGGGTCGTGGTAGCATAATGGTCAGTGCATTCGCCCGGATAGCGAAGGGTGCGGGTTCGAGTCCCGTCCGCTGCCTGGTCCGCGTGGATTTTTTTCTAGTAAACTTTTGTTTAGATTTAAACATCTAGCAGTTAAATGCTTAAAAATAAATAAAAACATAAAGACAATACACTTACAAAGCAAACTTTATTCAACGTTTTTGTCATATTAATTGTGTAGAGGCCGCGGCCCCCTCAAGACCACGATGGATGTGATCAACGCCGCCAAGAAGATCTCCGAGGCTGGCACCAAGCTCGACAAACTCACCAGAGAGATTGCTGAACAGGTGAGGAATAGGGTATTTGACAGTATTAAAAATAAAATGCCAATTGTTAGCATCTGTGTTAAGAATGAATATTGGCACGGGATTTCACTATTTTTACAAAAATAATATGCATCATTTTACTAAAAACCCACGAAAAAGATAATAGTTTTCTTATCTCTTGTCACGTGACCCAAAACGCTTGGGATTGGCGGAACCTAAAATGACGTCACACGCAAGTAAACTTCCGGTTAAAGTGACATTACATTGTATCGTTTGACGTTTTAATAACAGTCGTGTGACGTCACACACTAGTAAGACGCCATATTGTCCAGAGAAACGTTTTCGCGGCAACTTGAAAATGGAGTTTTTGATTTGGTTATTTTTACTGAAATACACAACAGAATGATGAATATCTACTTTTTACGGGCTCCATAAACATTAGTCAATAACGTGAGATCGTTTTCTAAAACTTGTCAAATACCCTGTTCAGTAAAAAAACTAAAATTAATAAGAAAAAATTAATAAATTTATAGTTAATTAGTATTGTAAAATAATTTTGAAATATTATTAAAATAAAATAAAATAAAATAAAAATAAAATAAATAAAATTATTAAAAAGTAGATAAAGAAATTTCGATTTTGATGAAATTTTTTGTGTGTGTTCAAGGGCATCTGAGAATGGTTTAGATTCAAAATTTTAATTTTTTTTTATGGCGGTATGAAGTTCGCTGGGTCAGCTAGTATATATATATAAAAATGAATCGCTGAATGTGTTGCTAAGCGCAAATCTCGAGAACAGCTGAACCGATTTCGATAATTCTTTTTTTAAAATATTCCTTGTAGTACGAGGATGGTTCTTACGCACAGAATTTTTTAAAAAATTGCCTGAAAAAGTCCAAAAACAACACTTTTCTATACTCCCATACAAACGATTCGTAATAATTCTTAAAAGTCAATTTGAATTTTAATACCCATACCATAAATTTCAAATGTTAGTGGAGAGGTTCCGGGAAGGCAAAACAATTGAGTGACGTGATGTCAATAATTGTTAATTGTTTGGAAAAGGCAAATATACCATTTTCAATTTTTTTTTAAATCTATACTAGCTGACCCAGCGAACTTCGTACCGCCATAAAAAAATAGGGGTTGATTGTAAAGCGTTGAAAATTCAGGGTTATATGTATTTACTAATGCTGTATCATAAAAAAAATATCTAAAATTGAAAAAAAAAAATTTGGGGTGGACTACCCTTAACATTTAGGGGGATGAAAAATAGATGTTGTCCGATTCTCAGACCTACCCAATATACACACAAAATTTCATGAGAATCGGGAAAGCCGTTTCGGAGGAGTTTAACCACAAACACCGCGACACGAGAACTTTATATATTAGATGAAGAGTTATTTTAGTCAACACTACAACTCTACACCGAAGCGAAGCGATATATAAATATTATTTATGTTCGTTGTAAACAGTGTCCCGAATCGTCGACGAAGCAAGATCTCCTAGCGTACCTCCAGCGCATAGCTCTGTACTGCCACCAGATACAGATCACCAGCAAGGTGAAGGCCGACGTACAGAACATATCCGGGGAGCTGATAGTCAGCGGGGTGAGTTATACATACGGGAATCGAAACGCAACGAGTGTGTGAGAGAGACGTATGTATTTTTTAGGGTTCCGTGCCTCAAAAGGAATTAACAGAACCCTTATAGGACCAAATCTAAAGAAAAGTTTACTAGAAAAAAATCCACGCGGACCAGGCAGCGGACGGGACTCGAACCCGCATCCTTCGCAATCCGGGCGAATGCACTGACCATTGTGCTACCACGGCCCTATTAGCCGAGTCGAAATTTTCCTAGCGTTAAGCAGCAAGGCAGCTTTTTTTTCTAGTAAACTTTTCTTTAGATTTAAACATCTAAATGCTTAAAAATAAATAAAATCATACCTTATAGGATCATTTTGCTGTCCATCCGTCCGTCTGTTAAGACCGTTTTTCTCATCAGTCATAGTTGTCCATCTCCTGAGTCACCACTGAGCACACCCTGTATAAATAATAAATTAATTAATTAACATCATAATTTTTATTTTTAGGGTTCCGTACCTTAAAAAGAGAAAACGGAACATTTACAGGATCACTTTGTTGTCCGTCCGTCCGTCCGTCTGTCAACACCGTTTTTTTCAGGAACGCGTGTTTTTTTTAGAATCTTGAAATTTGGTACGAAGTAACGTCTTATAGTACAGATAAAGGAGAAATTGTGAAAACCGTGAATTTTTAGTTACATCATAGAAGAAAAAAAAAATGAAAATTTTAAAGTTACTACCTCTTTTCTCATGAACGCGTAGAGCAGGGTAGGCGAACCTTTATGAATCAACGTGCCATTTTTTCTAAAAAATCTTTAATTGGGTCATTGGCATGCCATCAAATAATTTTGACTTTATGATTATTTAGAAGATAATAATATAAATACTATCAGAAATCTTTATGAAATAAAGTAAACCAAAGAGACACATTCTGGAATGTTTTTATAAATTAGATTACTGTAAAATTAGTGTGACTTCTGTTGCTGCAGGTTTGATAACAAATAATTTATGTTAGGGTTGTAAGATGCTACTTTTAGCAAAATGCATGCTGAACTGGATTCATCTGTCAAACGGTTTCTAAACGAGTTTTTAATGTTATTCATCTCTGAAAACAATGACTCGCAGGCATAGGTAGATGAAAACATTGTTAAAATAGCATGTGCTAACTTCTTCAAACAGTTACTTCGTAGCGTAGGATCACTCGCGTTCGATCATGACGATCATCAAAATACCTACTTAAATCATTTTTTACACATGTTTTATGATTGGCGAGGTGCCCAAAATATTGTGTCGCGTGCTATTAATGGCACGCGTGCCATTGGTTCGCCTACCCTGGCGTAGAGGTATAAAATTGAGTTTGTACGGAACCCTCGGTGCGCGAGTCCGACGCGCCATTGGTCGGGTTTTTTTTCTTATATAGCCAGGTAGGCAAATGACTCTACCCCACCTGATGTTAAGTGGTGATAAAGTCCAAACGCGAAGATAGCTGGTACAGCAGTTATAAACCATTTTTCACGCCTCTCTTAAAGGACCCCAGATTGTAGGAAGAAGGGAACACGTGCGCGGACAAAGAATTCCACTTACGAATAGTACGACAAAGAAATGAGTCACCAAATTTGTTTGTTCGTGTAGGAATTGTGGCCACAGTAAGTCGGTGGCAACGTAGGCCAGCGCGCGTGCTCCTCTGAGGAAAACGTGATGGAGGGATAAGGGAGAATAACTCCTCAGAATCCTCCTCGCCGTGGTATAGTCTCTGGAGTGGTAGAGGAGCTCGATGGCGCAAGTGGTTAGCGCGTTCGGCTGCGATCGTTGAACTTAAGCAACTTTCGCAGTGGTCGGTCATTGGATGGGTGACCAAAAATTACTATCTCGAGCTCCTCCGTGCTTCGGAAGGCACGTTAAGCCGTTGGTCCCGGCTGCATCTGCAGTCGTTAGCACCCACCAATCCGCACTGGGCCCGCGTGGTGGGCCATGGCCCAATCTCCCTATTCCATCCATAGGGAAGGCCTGTGCCCCAGCAATGTGGACATTAATAGGTTGATGATGTGGTATAGTCGATAGGCTGAGGAAGAAGGCCGCTGTTTTTATATTTAAATTACTGACTATTACTGTGATTGTTTGCGGAACAAGAATCGCACGCTAATTTTTATTACTGCTAACATCTTTGTATGCTGACTAGATAATTTTTGAGCTGTATTTTTTTGCTAACCAAAATTTTATTAATGGAAATGAAATGAAAACATCATGAATGTAAATAAATTAATTTGTTAAACTGTTTAAAATTCATTAATGTCTATTCTGACATGATTCTCTAAAGCTAAACTTAACTTAGATTTGACAATAGTGTATCCTTGTCATTCTCTATACAGAATGAAAAGGAGAGACTGATGTTAAATTAAGTTTTAAATTCAGAGAATCATGCCAGAATGAACACCGTTATTTAAATTTACTTTTATTAATTATGCCTGAATGATTTGTCGCAATACTTCGACAAAAATAATTTAATTTTTCATTTCCAGTTTGGGTTTCGCAAGGATCACACTTGGGCCCGTTTCTTTATATAATTTATATAACTAACCTCATTTCTTGTCCATATTCACTAGAAAACCTCAAATAAATCAAATAATTAAAATTTCTATCGTATTTTTTATCGTTTCAGTTGGACAGCGCCACATCATTGATCCAGGCGGCCAAGAATCTGATGAATGCCGTAGTTTTGACTGTGAAGGCTTCGTATGTCGCATCTACTAAGTACACTCGCCAGGGAACTATTGCTGTACGTATATTCTCAATTAATATAATATTGATTGAAAAGTGTACTAAATGAATTTGTTATTATTGTTGTTGTTATTGTTTTTGGAGTTTACTCCTTAAGAATCGATTTGCATATATAAGGGGCCCTGTATGAGAAAAATCTGAGGAGTAAAATCTACTGAACAAATGACCTCGTTACGTTTTTGTGCACAACCTCATCTGCGCACCTTTCGCTTTTAGCCATGGCAACGGATAAAAAACATTAAGTTGTCACAAATGTCAATAAAATAAATATAATAAATAGCAAAATAAAGAAAACAAATAAATAACAGAATATAGAGAAATGCCAGTAAGTGTCCAGCACTCTGGAATAGTGATTTTCAGTACAGATGGAATTATACAACATATTTACAAAATGATGACTAGTGTGTGATATTTTTGAAATTGTGTGTTTCCAGAAATACATAATAAAATATATGATGAATATCGCTAATGTTAGATGATAAAATGTATGACATGGAACCTATGATAGTCGAAACCATGGGACGATTCCTGAGGTATCTCTACTTGTAACCGACTTCTTCGGACTTGATTTTGTTTTGTGTCTGTTCAAAGACAATCGTTTTTAGAGTGCAAACTCCGGTCGTGCGTCGGAGCTGACACACACAATTTTTTTTATAAATATAAATGGAAATATTCCTTTTGCATGCTATATCATATGGCTAAAAAGGCTTAAAGCTACCTTGATATTTTTGTAAACATGAACATTTCAATGTATAAAGAATTTGAATTGAATTGAAATGAAGAACTTTCGAGAAGCTCGATGGTGTGGGTGGTTAGAGCGTTCGGCTGCGATCGTTGAAGTTAAGCAACTTTTGCAGTGGTCGGTCATTGGATGGGTGATCAAAAATCTTCTATATGTCACTCCTCCGTGCTTCAAAGGCACGTTAAGCCGTTGGTCCCGCCTGCATCTGCAGTCGTTAGCACCCGCCAATCCGCACTGGGCCCGCGTGGTGGGTCATGGCCCTATTTCCATATTCCTATCCATAGGAAAGGCCTGTGCCCCAACAGTAGGGACATTAATAGGTTGATGATGAACAGTCACAAAGACTAAGCTAGCCCCAAAAGTAAGCACTGTAAGGCTTATATTTATAGGATGCTAGGGTAACGGAAAGAATATAAATAAGTATATTTTTTTGAGTAGAAATACATATGAACGTCAATGAATAAGGTACAAATGCTCGTATTCATCATACTATTGATTTCTGATTTCATCAAGCATAATAATCATAATCAAAATCATTTATTCAGTTTAGGTTGTTACAAGCACATATGAACGTCTAGAAGCTACGCCATCGGTTCGTAAATCTACGGCGGGAGACCTTGTACTGAGAAGAACCGGCAAGAAACTCAGCAAGGGCTGTTTTTTTCTCCCTGTTTTACCATTTACAGAGTCGTCAAGTTGAAAAATGACTTCAGAGATGATTCAAGAAGTCACCTTTCATTACATAATGTGAAATTATACATTAATTGTTCACCTTCATTTTGATTGCTGTGTCACACAGTATAAATACAGAGTTATTTATAATAAAGCTCCTCCATAGATATATTTATTTATTTGAGTATTAAAATTTTCAACTTTCCCAACAGTCTCCGATAGTAGTATGGCGCATGAAAGCCCCGGAGAAGAAGCCTCTGATCCGGCCCGAAAAGCCCGAGGAAGTTAGGGCTCGCGTGAGGCGCGCCAGTCAGAAGAAACAGCCCAGCCCCGTCAGGGCTCTAGCGGAGTTCCAGAGCCCCGCCGATAATGTCTAGGTGAGTTTTCTTTAAAATGAAAATATACCTAAATCTAAAGAAAATGTTACTAGAGAAAATTCCACCATAAGAAACTGCCAAGCCCCGTCAGGGCTTTAGCGGAGTTCCAGAGCCCCGCCGATAATGTCTAGGTGAGTTTTCTTTAAAATGAAAATATACCTAAATCTAAAGAAAATGTTACTAGAGAAAATTCCACCATAAGAAACTGCCAAGCCCCGTCAGGGCTTTAGCGGAGTTCCAGAGCCCCGCCGATAATGTCTAGGTGAGTTTTCTTTAAAATGAAAATATACCTAAATCTAAAGAAAATGTTACTAGAGAAAATTCCACCATAAGAAACTGCCAAGCCCCGTCAGGGCTTTAGCGGAGTTCCAGAGCCCCGCCGATAATGTCTAGGTGAGTTTTCTTTAAAATGAAAATATACCTAAATCTAAAGAAAATGTTACTAGAGAAAATTCCACCATAAGAAACTGCCAAGCCCCGTCAGGGCTTTAGCGGAGTTCCAGAGCCCCGCCGATAATGTCTAGGTGAGTTTTCTTTAAAATGAAAATATACCTAAATCTAAAGAAAATGTTACTAGAGAAAATTCCACCATAAGAAACTGCCAAGCCCCGTCAGGGCTTTAGCGGAGTTCCAGAGCCCCGCCGATAATGTCTAGGTGAGTTTTAATATGATAATAGTTCATTAAAATCCAAAATATACCTAAATCTAAAGAAAATGTTACTAGAGAAAATTCCACAAGAAGAAACAGCCCAGCCCCGTCAGGGCTCTAGCGGAGTTCCGGAGTCCCGCCGATAATGTTTAATTGAGTTTATTTATGCATATAATAAAATGGTAGGAAAGTCAAAACTGTACATTGAATATTTTTTTTGTAAAGAATACTTGGGGTTTGATCTACAATCGATACCGAAGTCGAAAATATAGGTTTTAGAATTTTTGTCTGTTTGTCTGTATGTATGTCCGGGATAAACTCAAAAAGTACTGCATGGATTTACTTCAAATTTGTCACGAATATTATTAAGAAGTCGGGCCAACATATAGGCTACATATTATCACGCTATCACCTACGCACAGTGTTTTTAGTAGGAGAGCTAGCGGTCAATCCGAGTAACTTGTTTGACACAAGGCTAGAAATTTGTAAAATAATGTTTTAGTATTGGTTAACTAAGAAAATACCGTTCTGGCAGGCATCTCGCGGTTGCGTCATCATCCCCTAAATTTTTGAAAATGTTAAAAAAATAGTAAAAAAAATCTGCTTTTACAAGGCTAAAATTTTAATATGTTTTAATTTACATATGTTTAAAGGTAAAAAAAAATTGACAGTCGATTTTGTCGGTTGCAAGTACGTGCCAACCCATAATAAAGTTGTTATGGGGATAGCAATTCATAACTTGCTTTTACAAGGCTGTAATTTTGAGAAAATATTCTTTAAACAATTTTATAAATATATTTAAAAAGCCAGACTATTCTGGTGGTTGCAAGTGTCTACTAAGTTAATATATAACGGTCGCGACGCTTCGTGAGGTGCGAGCGTAATAGGCTTATACGGGTCTCTGTGTCAGAAATTATTGTAAAAATTAAAATATACAATTTCTAAAAATTTTCTCGTTGAAAATTGTTAATATATGATGAACGATTATTGTAATAAAAGAAAAACAGAGTTATATGTAAAATATAAATTTTTATTTTTTTAACATATTTTTTTTTATTAGTATCTTATTCGTCTTCACTCAGTATTTCATCTTCTGAGTCAAAATGATAGCCATCGATCGCTGTTTCGTTTTCTGGAAAAAAAATATAAATTTTTATTGATAAAATGAAATGTAGGCAAAAATACCATATGCACATGTACAGATAAAAAACAGAAATTATTTACCTGACTCAGTGTCATTAGAGTGATCAGGTTGTAGTAAAGCATCATAGATGGATGGTGGCACAGTGCTACCCTCATACCAGTTATATATATATTTATTATCATCTATAATCCACCCATTCTTTTCTGGTGTTAACGTTGTGGGTTCTTTAAGGTGGGCATTACTCCATATACTGGTAATATATTGTGAACGTAGTAAATGTTGATATAATTCGGATTTACAAGGAGGTAAATTTGATGTATCGTAGTTTAAATATTTCTTATTAAATGGTTCATTCACGTTTTTTGGTTTGTAGGTGATGATGAATTTATCATATCTTGCTTCGTTAACATTATCTGCTTTGCTTCCGTAAATTTCACAAATGAATTTTTCAATAATTTTGAAAATTTCACTGCTGCGACCTGTTGTATGAGCATTCCTAAGGTTTTTTAGGGCTTCTTGATATTCTAATTTTTTCTTCAAAATTTCAAAAGGTCGTTTTTTCCCTTTCTTGAAAAATGACGGATTATAGTCACAACCGGTTAATGCATGGAATCCTGGTAAGCTCAATGATAAAGATGGCCCGAGGTTAGTATAAAGCTCGCTTATGGCAAGACATCTTTTTTTAGATCCAGTACCGTATTCCATAAAAATGTGCAATGAGTCACTAGATAAATGGTCCATGTTTCCAAGCATTATAATTAAAACATCAGTATCTGATGATTTAATTAAAATATTTACATTGTCTTCCTCAATTTGGCAAATATGATGTACAATTTTTGTGTCCGCCTCTTCGTGATGAATACAGGACAAAACATCATTGATAACCGAAATAACTGAATTATCTTGAACTGTGTAATTATGACAATGCTTATAATTTATATTAATTACTGTATTTCCAATAAATGGCGCCATTTCATCAGTACTCCAATGGTTAATTAAAAATTCCACTAAAGCCTCTTTAAATGATATATTTCTTAGTTCCTTATTGAAATCTACCGGTCTCACTTGCTCTGGACCAGTAATAGTATAATTTATGCTTCTCTCTTCATGCCGTTGATTACGCTCATAATCTTTAATTGATGGAGAGAAGTATTGATCGAAAACTAGATCAATTCGCGAAGCTTTTGTAGCAGTTAATGTTGACATAATTTGTTTTGATATATTTCCGAATGTTTTTGGAACATTTTGCATGGTATGTATTAAATAAAATCCATCAACAACAATAATATCGAAGCGTGGAGGTGTATTTGGCTTGTTTATAATTTTTTCCAGAACGGTAACTATTGCAGATTTTTGAGTTTTATGTATAGATCCATCCATATGGCACAAAGACATCGGAATCAGTGTAATCGGATAAGATAGAACTTTTTCTAAATCAACTTTTAGATCTATTGATAGTGCAAGCAATCGTCCAAATAAATTGCGTTGAACACGTATTTCTTCGACTTTATCACCAACTCGTGCTTTTTGCTTGATCGTTTCAGCCGAAAAATTCATGATTTTAACTCTTTTTATTGATGCTTCAAATCTCGCGCTGTCAGTGGTACATTCCTCTATAAATTCTTCTCTCATTTTGTTGCCATTTACTCGGAAATTTAATAGGTAATTTTCAACATCATTAGAAGCAGCCTTTCCAGTTGCAATATTATAAAGAAAGTCTGGATTAAGTTCTGGATCAAACGGATTTAGAAATTTTTCAAAAGTATTTATAAACTTTTCAAGCTGCTTGGCATTTTTCTTTATTGCATGAGATTCTAGATCTGCAGTGATGTCGTTCGAACCATTTAATCTAGTAACATCGAATGTATGAGATATCACCGATGTTCTAATATCGTGACTTTTAGCCCAACGTTGTCGAGCTGAAATGGAGTTAGTGAAATGGATCACACCTGTCAACCTTCTCCCTGCGTCAGCATTTATTGTCTGCTCAAGTGTCAAGTCTGTTGGTTGTCTTGAGAAAGACTTACTAGTCCGTTGAATACCAAGGTATCCAGCATTCATAGCTCTTTCTAAGTCTGGATGAGTTTCATTTAATTTTAGTAAATTATCATGATATTTTAGTAACCATCGAGCATAATTCGGTTGATTGGTTACAAAAAATAAACTTGAAATTTTTGGCAATATGTATTTAAATAATTGAAAATCACCCGATCTAATACTGCGACTCAATAAACGATAATAATTGACCAGATCAATATAAATCATGTAAAATTGAGCAGTTTTACCGAACACTCCTCTTTCACATCGGTCCTTGTGTGCGCTATATGTGTTAATAATTTTCAAAAATTCTTTATTTTCAAGTATTTTAGCGCTAGGCTCTTCATTTATTTTCATTAATTCTGTGTGCGTGTTATTGTCTATTGAAAGTCCTGATTTCTTCAGAAAGAATTCAAAATATAATATTTCAAGTCCTACTGCCATGAGTGGATGCAAACGTTTGCATCTGTTGAAATGTTTTCCTTGAAGAAATCCGTCAACAGATCCATTAGCAATAATTTCACTGTCGACAGAAATTGTCATTAAACCACTGCCGCTTATAAACTTTCCAATTGCTTTGAAGAGAGCTAACATAATGTGAAATGGTCCAAGATGTATGAATAAATTATCATATAATGGTTTCTCAATTGATTGTATTTGGAGGGCTACTTTAGCAATGGCTAAATCATACGTGACTTCTATGTATGTTTGATTTAGTTCTTCGGCGATCTTTTGACTAATTTTCATTGTTTCAATGACAACAGATGGATTTGTTGGCGATTCATTAATAGGTGTTAAATAAGCAATTTTTTGCCTAGAAGTATTGATGTCTTTAACTACTTTATGGTTAAAACCAACCCACATTGGGGTGTTTGGAATCTTCAAAGCGTGGCAAATCATCCATAGTGTATCCAATTTTCGTATTTGTGGCAAACTTTCAGCATGTATCTGACTTCGTTGATCACTGCATGATAATAAAGATTCTATCATTCGGGGTTTTTTTGTGTAAGGGAGCAAGTTTGGTATAAATGTGTCAAAAGCTCTTCTTCTTTTGGTAATTCTACCTGAACTAGTACTAGCTGTACTAATAGTACTTTCAGGTTCATTCTCAGAGACATTCTCGTTGATTTCATCATTTTCAGATATTGTCTGATAAATGATACCGACGGT